GCCCCGCCTTGCCTCCCCGCGCCCCAGCTCCTGGCCGGCGCGCTCACCGCATTGTGTAGAGCAGCGTGCCGTCGTCCTCCAGCCGCAGCAGCTTGTTGGGCGTGGTCATGTTGTGCGCGATGGACTTTTTACCGTTGTGAAAGAACGTGTCTGGGGTCCAGATTTTGCTGGCGAGAAGGTTGTTGAGAGGGAGGCGCTGCATCGGCCCCTTGAACCGAAGCCTTTCGTCTTTCCAGCTTTGTCGGAAAAACACATCTATGGTGTATTCCTAATGCAAAGGAGGACAACCAGGGCACGTCTGAGCGGAAGAGGTCCTTAGCGGAGTTCTCTCAGTGCTTAGTTGGAATTATCTGAGTGGGGGCGTGCCCTGGGACCTACCATTTCCGTGTCGGACACCGGGCCGAAGCTGGTGACATAGATGTCCGTCCTCACCTGAGTGATTCGCTCTGAAACACAGACACAGGTTCCTCTGCTCGCCCCGACTCACCTGTGCAGTCCGTCAACCGTACTGATGTTCTTAGTCTATTAACCAATTTCACTCTTGGCAACTAGGGGGCTCTTATTGATGTGTGTGATAAATTTGGAGAACTTGACAAATACCAAGTGAAACCAAGCTGCCCCGAAAGATAACATGAGATAAAACACGCATTATATAAAGAAAGCAGCTTGGCTGTCCTACTTCTGCCCCTGGGGAGTAATCCTGAACAGAGTGGGCTGAGTCCTGGCTGTGGGACCTTGAGTGGTTTCCCAAACGCCAGAGCTTCCATTTCCTCTTCTGCAAACCTGCAGCAATAACGCCAGCCTCACGATGCATAACCCTGGCCTTCCCACAAATAGTGGTTTTAAAAAGGACTGGACAATTCAGGATGAGGGGAGCTTACTCTAAGGATTTTCCAGTCAAAGTTGGGGCGCCGGGTGGTCTCTGAGGAAAGGATGAGAAAGTGCCCATAGGATGCCGTGAGACAGGGACAACTTGAGAAGGAAGACCTGCTGCTCTTCATATGGCGTTTGGAATTCTTAGAAATTCCTATCATGGGACACTACTATTTCAATTAAAATTATTGGAAATAAATAAAGTGATAAAAGTAGCTGGTACCATTAGGAAATTTGTGTGTTCCCTCGGCACCATGGGGGCTTGGTGGTCACGAGTAGGGACCACGTTCAGAGTGCACCATAGCCCAGGTGAAATAACCCCAAGACGCCAATCATGGGCTCTGCTCCAGCCTCTCACTGTGCGTGGGCTTCTGTCTGGATGCATTTGCATGTGTGCATGTGTCTGCATGAGCCTGTGATCTCTGTGCCTGGCTCCCCTCTGAGAGCAGGCTCTCTGTTGGCTCCTCAGGGACCGCTACAGGACTGCAGCACAGGCTACTGAGAACGAGAGAAGACTGCAGGCATTGGCAGTAGTTCAGTAATTTCTAGGGGCGTTGACCCTTCTGGGTGTGTTCAAAGGGACCTGGCTGCTGGACTGGACAGAGGCCTGGGGACATACCTCAGAGGGTGCAGAGTAAGGTGCTGTCGAGGAGCATATGTAGATTTCTCTTGCCAAAAAGAGAACGGGCAACTCATGCTTTAAGTGAATCTCCCTGTTAAAAATGGAAATACTCGAGAAGAACTAAATGTTTCCTCCAAGAATGTGTTTGCTGGAGGGTCTCTACCTCACCTAAGGGAGCCAGTTCAAATGCACCACGTCTAGACTGGTTAGAGCCAGAGGCACTGCACATGCCTGGAAACTGCACACAGTTTTCAGAACAAAGTGGTTGCTAGCTGTGCCCTCAAGCACAATCCATTGAGAGTTTATTCTTCATCAGCTTCCACAGACTGAAAGTAAATACTGTGACGACGGCCACAGTGAAAAATTAAATATGTAACCTATGAAGATGTGAAGAACAACCGCCCCAAACAATGGATTTCTGGAAGCACTTGCATAGATACGAGATCATGAGGTAATTACATATTTCTTAATCTAAGAACTGGTGCCTCTTCAAGTAAACAAGAATGTAGAGGTTAAGATCACCTGGCAAGAAGGTAGCTTGCAGGGGCACGTTAGGGAGACTACTTCCCCCAGCTTCTTGCATCTGGGAAATGGTATCAAAGGCTGCAGGATCCTCAGCAAGCTGGACCATCACCCCCTGAAAGGCCTGCAGCCTGGCTCTCTCAGAACTGTCTGCATCACAGCAAACATGAGCTTGAGGCTGGGGCTATGCTTTTCCTTACCTCCCAGAACACACTCACCTCCCAGCCCAGGCCGGAGTCTGTTGTCATAGCCATCCAAGAGCCCGTCCAGGATCCTGGTAAATATTGTGATGTTGTCATTGGTCTCGTCTTTTACTGAACTGGTTGACATCTGTGAAAAGCTTTTTAAAAGAGAGACAAAAGAATTGCAACTTATATTGTTTCTTACAAATTCTTCTCAAGATATAGAAACCAAGGAATCACATGACTCCTCTTGGAGGGAGGGCGTCTGACAGCAGATCTCCCGTATTGCCCAGGTGACTGTTCGGAATCACTTAGCCTTAGTTCCTGATATTCAGAGACATTCTGCTGTGGCTGGTCACCCATCAACCCAACATGATGATTAAAATCCACCACTCCCTGTTTATGTCAATGTTTTAGCCATTAAAAAAAAAGAAATTAGCCACTACACTGGATGCGCAGAGTCTGATCCACTTGTGGGACATTTCAGATGTTTGGTTTCAACACAGAAAAACTGAGTTTGCATATCATCAGTGAGTCACCTGCCATAGGGACTGGGGTGTGGAGGGGGAGTTGAAAAACTTTATCCAAGTTGAAAGACAAGGTTGGTGTACCCAAATCATATGGATCCATGGCTGGATTGGGAACATTTGTGCTGTGAATAGCATGCCAGGACAGGAGTGCACAGTGACAGAAACAATCGAGTCTGTGACATCTCTTGCCCCCCCACCAACAACACTGCAGTCTGATGGCACATTCTATATGACCACACATTCTGTATTAACCATCTCGTCACACTCAATAAAAGTCCCAAAAAGAGCAGACTGAGGCTCCGGGGAAGAGGCAAGAATAGCATTCCTGGTTTGTTCAATGGAGGGAAGTCATCCAGGCTCCACAAGCTAATGCAGATGGAGCAGAGGGAAACTAGAAACTGCCTGAAGCAGATCTGAACAAACTGAGGAGGTTATTTGGGGGCAGAGGGAATGTCCACAAGCCCAGAAGACAGTAACACATCTGAAAGTTTGTGCAGCTGCTTTCGGAGGTGCAAAAAGCAAGACGTTTGTGAATTACTAACCACTTGACCTACAATTGTGGCTTGGCTTCAAGGACTGGGGGAGGGGGGGCTTACCAAGCTGAAAACCAGCTGCACTTAGGAAAAGAACACAAGATTTCTGGCACTTCCTTGGAGTGCCTGGCTGTGGGGCCCCCGCTCTGCTTATAGCACTTTCTCTCCTGAGGAAGGCTGAAGCTAGAGCTGAGAGCTGCTGTGTATGGAGGGATGCCAAAGTCAGAATGGATGCGTGCCTGCCCCAACCAGTTCTTGAAAATTGGTCACTTTCATTGATCACATCTAAACACATCAATTCTTTACTGGCCCTAAAGCTACCCCCTTTTGGGTGAGAGAGTATAAAGTACTTTTAATTTAATTTTCACCTCGCCATTAAAATGCATATAGTTGAAGCTCTAATAAGCTAAAATTCAGTCCTGTTAGTATGGAGTTCACAGACATACATTTTTTACTCTGTGATTCAATATTTAAAAATATTAAATTCTCCACTTCTCTGACATTCATGGTGGTTTTACCCTTCAGAATGACCAGGACAGACAGCCTTGATATCTTCTTCCGGGTCCATGTGAAAAAGAAAGTTGTATCTTGTACTTGCCCAGTTGTGTAACTACTGGTCAGCCCAGATCAGGCCTCCAAGTCCACTTCTCATGGAGCTCATAACCCTTAGTGTGAATATTCTATTTCAGGCTACATCCAGGCACCCAACTTTTGGAAGGTCCTTGCTGCCATTTTAACTAGTTCAGGGAAGTTTTTCTAAGCAATTCCATTATCTGTTAGGAAAATGTTCTTAAATAAGATCAGATCTGAACAGCCCCAGCTATTAGGAGACAGAGGCTTCACTTCGCTACTGACCACTTTGAGACCATGTGGCCACCACGATATCCTTGTAAGCCTTGTTTTCCTTGGCTCACTCTCTCTGCAAGTGAAGATAAAGGTACACAGCTCCACCACTCTCAGAGTAACACCATCCCACGAGGGTCTGAATCCCACTTCACAAACACTGAAATCATTTCTGACAGCCATGGAACAAGATACAGTGCTTAAGAATTCCAAAGCTCAGCTTCCACTTCTCGACCTTCCCCCAATTTTTAAGTGTTTAAATATGTTTACACACACATGCACATAACTACACTTTTCGTAGCGGAATTGCAGCAACTGCCCTGTCCTGCCTTAACTGCCTTGTGTACTTATCTGTGGGCTTTTGCATGCAATAGGCCACAGGTGGGGATCTGCTGTGTTTTCTTTGCTGCATTAACTGATGATGGGAGCTAGAAGGTAGGAGATGGATGCTAAAAACTCCTTGAAAATGCCTATCAGGGCAGGAGCAGCAGGGTTTTTTTCCATGAATAACTGGGAAGCCTTCCTCAGTCCACAGATCTCTCTCAAAAATGATTCCTCTTCTGCATATGGTTATGAGATACACCATTTTCACAGCCTTGGAGAGGAAGACATTCGCTTTATCACAGAAGGAAAATGCTGCATTTTCTCAGCCCCTGGCACAAGTGCCATCATAAGAAGAATCTCACAGATGTCTGGGGAACTTGCTGGTGCCTCTATCAAGATGCATAATCCTTAAGGGTTGCTTCTAAGAGAAAGAAAAACTTCAGCTTGATTTGTTCCTCTTTGGTTTGTTGAAAGCTCTCAAAAATCAAAATAACACAGAAATGCTGGGCTATGCCTTTGGTGTGTGCAGAGTTTGATCGATGAGGTCTCCAGGTGGACCCACTGAATACGCACTCCGTTTAGGTTCAGGAGGCTGGCTCGGCTTGCGGACGTTCCTGTTCAGCTTCTCATAACTGTACTGAGTACAGCTGAGGAGATCTGCTAATCCTGAGGTCAACCGTGAGTGCACTACTGCTTCAAGAACAAAGCTTAAGGCTCTGCTCTTTGGGGGAGTGGATTTTTGTGAGCGGAGACTAGATCCATTGTTACTGACAAGAGCCTTAGACATAGTAGAAATAATTGACATTTTGGTGACTCTCCCTTCAATTTCAGCCAGGGTTAATTAGGTTGTCTTAAAATATAAGTTATTTTCTTATATTTAATGCATATTATCTTCAAAGACATGTCACGTTTACCCCATGTTATCTATTCCAACATTTTCAAATATCGCTCTTCCAGAAAAGGGATCACAAAGAAAATGTAGAATCAACCTAACCTGTTAATTAAAAATGCTCATTTTTTACATTTCCTTGCCTTGGTCTATACAAAAGACACAAGGACTTCATCCCTAAACTTGACCTATTTCCAATGACTTTAGTTTGAAAAATAAAGAAAGGAGGTCAGTGTGCCCCATATTCTAGCCTGCAGAGGGTGTGGAGGTGGAATGGGCAGGGGCATGCACAGGGTGCCACAGCACAGTGGAGACCATGGGTTTCTACAAATGCTGTCATGTCACTCTGCCAGACTGAAGTTCTGGGTCATGTATAGACTCTGATGAGGTGGACTGGGGAACTGGCAACTCATGAACTTTGATCCCCTAACAGGTTTATTTCACCAGCTAAGTGTTTAAGAAAAATGAATGTGAATACTTTTGGAAAGGGTCAATGTTTGCAACTGTGAGTCTCCCATCTCTCCCTGTTGTCTTATACCTGGCCATTCCAAGGCATTTGACTCTGAGACTCTTGCATTAGCGTCTTCCTGATTTCTCAACCCCAGAGCCATGTTTTTAATTGAGGGAACAGACACCAGTGTTTTTTTAAGGTCCCCCAGTGATCCCCCTGTGCAGCCATGGTGGGGAGTGACTGCTCTAGGTGTACGGCAGAAATGGAAAAGCTGTGAGCCAGCTGCCAGTGACTCTGAAGGCCTCAGAGAGTTTCTCTCTAGCATTACCTCTTCAAAGAGGCCTTCCTGATTGGGATCAGTGCTTATATCAACAGCCCAGCTCAACCAGTGTACTCTAGACATCTAATGTGTACCAGGAATTGTGGTGAGTGCCAGTGACATGAAAATGACAAGATGTGCCCCTGACCTACCTCAAGGACACAACTGTCTTCTCAAAGGATCAGCAGTGTTCCCAGAGGATTTCAGCAGAACATGGTAGGTGTAGGAACCTAGTGTCAATGTGCAACACACTGTAGGAACACACGGGAGACAAATCAAGCTTGCTAGGTACGTAGGAGACGAAAACTGACCTGAGTTTTCAAGTGTGAAGTTTGGGTCTCAAGCCAGAAAAAGGGGTGCAGGAAGGTGGTGTGAACCATGGCCTTGAGAAAGGAACCAGCATGATGTTTGCAGAGGGCACATGAGAGCGCCAGTGAAAAGGGCGCCCTTTGCTGATGGGGAGGTGGGCACATGCCAAGCCATAGCAGACTTTGCTGTCCGCTACTCTTCTGGGCCTTTCCTAAAGGTGATGGAGCCTGCAGCATGTCCCTGAGGCCCTGAGGCTTGGGTGAGGCAGGATGCAAGGCAGAGTCACTCACCGCTGGCCAAGAGGGTGAGTGTGGGGTGGCTGGGGCCAACAGCTAGACTTCTGATTGGGGGTAGAGGAGAGAGAGGGGTCTGAAGTCCCAGGACAGGGAATCCAGAGGAAGCCATGCCCCAAGTCAGCCAGCGACCAGCACAGGGGGACTCTGTAGAACTCACCCATCACTCTGAAAGGGGAATAAGCAAGGAGTTGTGTTTTTGGTAAAATCTAAATGTATCTTTCTTTTTGAGGAACTTTAAAGGATATTATGCCCAAATAACTTTATCCATCAGTATTATCATCTCTAATAGCAATAATATGTTGTAGATTCCACCTTGAAAGTTTCCTCACTCTACCAAGTGATGCCTAGTGAAGCTTCCTTACTGTGCCATGTTGAAGGGAATAGGCTATCGCACCGTTTCGGGGGAGAGCCATGCACGCATGGTGTGAGTGTCAACACGCCCCATGCATTTCCTTGTGATGTTCTCTCTGCTGTACTGACGGCCATTTCTGATTTATGTAAAATGGGATCGATAATGGCTACTGAGACACATTTTAATGTGAAATTACTTTGGGAATGGAACTGGATTGATTTTAAGCACCAGCTTATTTGTCTCCTTAAATTGCATTCTTTCTCTAGTATTTAATTACTCCTGAGAAACGTGTCGTCCATTTGTTTGTAACTT